ATTGAGAGACTCGAGTCTCTAGTAGAAAGACTGGGATCTCTGAAATATATTGAACTTAGAAAATTTTAACCATGTCTATCGAGACATCACTTATTGAGAGATTCGAGCCTCTCGTTGAGAGATTCGCGTCTCTCGTTCATAGACTGGATACGAAATGACGATCTGTCTATGAGCGACTCGAGTCTTTCGTTCAGAGACGCTGAACAGTTTTTTTGACAATCTCTCTCAGCGACACCAGAGAGACTCGATGAGAGACGGAGGCTCGACTCTCGCTTTCAGAGACTCTGAAAGACTGAATATTTTTATCTCGGGGGACTTTATTTACAAACGAATTATTAACTATGAAATAACGGATTGCATCTACAGGCATAACGAAGAAAATATGAATTAAAAACGCAAGTTAACAAGAAGAAGAACAAAACGTAATTAACTCTAATCTATGTGACAAAATCAAAAATTGTTCTGGTGCCACCATCAATACCTGGTTTGCAACAAAGGAATACGAGCCAGAAGCCAACAAGGGGAAAAGCCCAACAAGGTATGACTCTGCCTCGAGCCATGTAATTCCTGTAACCTGAATACAATTGAAGAGCATCAATAATAAAATCAACAAAGGTAGTTGTCGTCAAAGACCTTCACAGAACCTGACCATTGGGACCAAATCGGCTCATTATTGTTTGCAAAAGAACATTGAAGAGATATTTGACTACCTTGTATGTAATTTAAATTATTGAAATTTCCAATATAATAATTTGAAATAGGTTGAATAATGATAAGGAAATCTACCTCTAACGACTAAAGAAAATATTAAAATTAAACGGAAACATCAATTGTTTATAGTTCTTTAAAATATATTAGAATTTTCTCTTATACTATTATAGCAAAAACTCCCTATTTCGTAATGGACAAAATTTTACACTTTTTTCTGCGTAGCTCTCATTCGTCAAGTGCCTAAAGCATAACGTGCCATAAGGAACTTTGTTCCAATAAAAATGCAAGATAGTATAACGAATTTGCCAATATTGTCTTGTATTTGTCCTTAGTTGGGTGAATCATATGAGAATAAACCTTAGACTTGTTAGTTCAGGAACAGCAACTAATCTACATTCAGTAAGCAACTGTTGCGGTGGTGCAGTAGTTGATTGAGCAACGAGAGCCAACAATAGAGCTCGAGGCGAGTACAGATGATGTCAAACGGTCTCCAAACACCAACAACGAATCCACAGTTGCCGAATTTGTACATTAATTTTTATGAGTTTGAATGTGTCTTTTTCTTCATTTAATTTCAATATTCTTTTCCACTTTTTCAATTTATCACTTGTTATTGTCCAGAATAGTTCCTAGTGCAACAGAACGATCGCTAGCTATACCCCAGCCTCCTACTACCTAGCCGAACTCTACTTTTCGATTTTTAACATCCTTGAAATTTTCAATCATATTTACTTTTATTCCTTAATTAACAAGATATTAGAGTGTCAATAGTTCAGTAGTAAGAATGTGGGATCGCGACAGGTGCGTAGGCCGGGCTGATTCTTCTTCTACTTCCTCTTCAACGGAAATGCTACGATCATAAAGTGACAGTAGGAAAAGATAACACAAACAAAGTGAGGGTTGATCTAATCAAATCCTTTCATTTTCTTGATGGTCAGCATGACAGTTTATTTATTGTCATATTCTAGTTAAATTAAAGATACCTAATCCGGTGCAGGACTACCTTTCTACCGAAAATGAAGCACAATTTTCTCAACATTTTCGCAGTAAATAATTAATTTGTATACGTTTTAATAATTGAAGAACTTGTGCAAGTGAAAATATTGTACAAAAAACTTGCAGTTTCTTCAATATTTAATTTCTACGGATAAATTGACATTTGTAACACCGAAATAAAATGGCGATAAAAGAAAGTTGTGTATAATATACAGCTCAGTTGGTCACATTGTATAAATGGGGTTAGTTGGAGTATTTAAAAAGGACCCCTCTAGGCCTATAACGTACTTAATATGTGTCTTATTCATGTTTTTCTTAAATATCAACTTCTGCCACCTCATCCACTTTCTGTGTTCATAAATAAATATAAGATAATATGCAACACTATCTTAGTACCTCATATTAAATTGGGTACTATGGACTAGGGGGAGTTGGAATTGTTTGCTCTTCTAAAGGGAGGCGATAGTTCAGAAAAGGTTGGGAATCTTTGTTCTATTATTTCAAACCTGAGTCTAGTCCTGTCAGACATTCTGTTAAATGGGTTGCATACGTGCTCTCGACTTCGTAGTTAATTTTAAATTATTCATACGGCAGTGTTGATTATTTAAAATTCGTTTTAGATATATGTATGCAGTTATCAGTTATCACAAATAGTTCAGTTTTGTTCCCATCAGTAAAATTTTAACTTTGATTACTATTTTTGATATTGGGTAAGTAAGAAAAAGGTACAATCTGTAATGTATTAATTTATTTAGTCATTTCCTAAGGTTTTTATCACAGTGATCATTAAAAAAATTATCTAACGATTTCTTTAAAACATTATCTAAAACAACAGTATTTCAAACAGTTCTAAAAAAGCCCAGAATCCAGACCTAGCAATGACAGTTCTTAATTTACTTCTTAAGTTACTGTTATTATCTGCAACTGGCTTATCAGGGGTTTTCAATTTTGGAGCTTCAGAGAATGTAACCCCCTGGTGATGACCCTCATGGTCCCACCTTTCATATCTCCTTTCAGTATCTAAATACACCTCAAGAACATATTTACTAATATTGTGCAAAAAATGACCATAAAGACCTACCCCAATGGGCCTCTTAAAACTGAAAAGAAGATATTAATAAATAATTATCTATTTAAGGGTGAAATTTTGGTGGAGGGTACCTTTTAGGTATTTCAATAATGTCAATCCCACAAGTGGCTGAGTGCAAATCATATAAACTGGGTTCATACCCTGGTTTACTAAGTGATTCAGATACATATATATCAACATCCCCTTCTCTATTTGGACAGGTAAGAACAAAATTAGTTAATTTATTGATTCCTTTACATTATTATTAACTTACGTCGAATTAACGGCAAGAATTAAGTTTCCAATATAAGTTAAACTCCAGTAAGTGAAATTTTCTGCACTAACCTCTCCCTCAACACTGTGAAGCAATATCTTCCCTTCACCAGTGCTGCTTATAGCAAAAATCTAAAATTAGGTAAACCCAAAATCTGCGATAACTAATCTAATTAATTATAGCAAAGGCTTACCACGAAAATTAATGCATGAAANATTCCGGGTCCGTCTGCCTTGGTCCAAGTTTTTCTGTGGTTTCCTTGGATCACTTAGGCAAATGCTGAGGCAGTAATTTTCCACAGATAATCTTTCATTCTCTTCTGTCTTCATTTCGTCCGTCTCAACTTTCTCACCCGAAACACCACCCACCCATTCCCACGATTCCTGAAAACAGGCTGAAGAGGGCCTTCCGCCCTACCTTCCGGCGTAGTCCGGAGAGACTCCCCATCCACCAGCAATACTGGCTGGTGGGAATGAAACACCCAAAAGTTTTAAAAGTTCTTTTTTATTGACCAACCGCTTAATATAAAGTAATTGCAGTGCTAAGTTTGGTTTTCATATAAAATTCTCTATAGGAATGTTTGGATATAATGACTCCA